ATTGTATGGTCGTACTTGGGGTTTGGTATTTAAACAAACTCCTAAACCTTAACAAGGTAAAAATCATAGAGACTTAGATTGAGGGAGGAACCCAGAATATTATAAATCAAAAGTAGGCAATTCTCACTCTCTGGAGTTTAGCTCCAACCCTAATCAAACACACCTGAACAAGCTAATCAGGGTCTTTAGAATTACTTCAGGCTACAACTGCCGCTAAACTCTGCAGGAAAGTAGATCTCAAGGGCCAGAGATGGCCAGCTCTTTTATATAGACTTGTGGGCTGGGGATCTTTTGACTTGGTCCCATCTCTTCCACTCTCGCTCTCCCTCTGCCATCTATTCCTCTCTCATAAAAATGTGCTGGCTCAAAACTCACTCAGTGAAAGGCTTGACTCTTTGCTCCAAAAACTACTTTGTCAAATCTTCAGTATCTTAATGTCCATTTTTGCACTCTTCACAGCACCACAAGGCCAATAATTTTGATTATGCCACTTTTCGCAAATGGTGCACAAATTGCTGTCCCATTAGACACAAGTCCCATTTATGTTACTTTGTTAGATTTTATATTAGGCTAATTTTAAACAAATCAAATACCTTTTTTCTATTTAATTTTGATTGAAATTTTTTTTTTTTTTTCAATGTTTGTGAAAGTCTATTATACTCCCCATTTATTAAAAAAGAAAAAAATCAAATGGCTGTTTTCATAACAATAATAGTTTTACTGCTTGATGGTTTTATGGAAACTGATTTTTTTTATTTTTTTATTCTTTGTTGAATAGAAAGTTAAAAAGAGCAGCATTTATTTGAAGTTAAAAAATATTAACTATATATATATATATATACATACAGTATATATATATATATATATATATATATACATACAGTTATATATATATATATATATAATTGTATGGTCGTACTTGGGGTTTGGTATTTAAACAAACTCCTAAACCTTAACAAGGTAAAAATCATAGAGACTTAGATTGAGGGAGGAACCCAGAATATTATAAATCAAAAGTAGGCAATTCTCACTCTCTGGAGTTTAGCTCCAACCCTAATCAAACACACCTGAACAAGCTAATCAGGGTCTTTAGAATTACTTCAGGCTACAACTGCCGCTAAACTCTGCAGGAAAGTAGATCTCAAGGGCCAGAGATGGCCAGCTCTTTTATATAGACTTGTGGGTTGGGGATCTTTTGACTTGGTCCACCTTTGCATCGATGTCTTGTCTCTGAAAATGAAAAGTAGGCTACATGACACTTGCTAGGATTGTGTAAAACTATGACATTGATACTGACAGGTACATTTGTATTTCTGTATATCAGGCTCTGGAGAAGTACTGCAGGGTGGACGGGGGTTACAGCGGAGTGAGAGACGTCTACGCTAACTCTCCCAACCATGATGACGTGCAGCAGAGCTTCTACCTGGCTGAAACACTCAAGTGAGTACAGGGCACACATACATACACAGTGTTGCAGTGTTGGAGAGAAAAAAAAAAATAAAAAAAAAAATATATATATAGTGTGAGTGTGTATAAATCCGTTTTTATTTATTTATTTTTGTGACACTATATTCATTACAGTTGTACATAATTACGTTTTAAATTACGTTGGCATTGCGGTAATATTATTTTTAGGAAGCTGGGACAAGATGTGTATTCCCTTTTAATAATGGCTGGAATCTAGCCATTTTGATGCCGGATAAACAGTTTTAGACATAAATTGAGTCACATAAAATAGATTTATTATTGTAATTTGTAAAATGTTATATATTAATGAGAAGCATCAGTATATTTATGAGAGTCATCAGTCAGAATAATGAGGGGGAAAAAAGTAGAACTAAAGAGAATTTAGGAAACTTAAAAATACATATAAATGATTAATTAAAAATAACATAAAAATAATGTTACAGTGCAAAACAACATATGATTAATGGTCTTCATTTTCTTTTTGCAAAATGTATTTCTTTTGATTTTGGGCTGAAATAAGCTTGTAAACACATCTTTATATCCCAGAGCACAGAGATTGAGTCAGATCAGCCAGCCAGTCAGATTGGAGCTTGATTTTCACAAACTTCTTGCCCATTGGTTTGCAATATATTGGCATGTTGTGAGAGACTGAGACTAACTTGTGATTCTGCAATGACTGACTAAAGGAGAGGAAAGCTCTTCACTTAGAATGCATGAATTGAGCCAATTCTCTGTCGGAGCGAGAATTGTCGCTGTCAAGGTGAAGTGATTGAGACACAAGACTGTGACAGCTGGAACTCATTTACAGGGGTCCTTATCACACAACATCCATCATTAAAGACACAGATAAATGAAAGGAATGAATAAAGAAAGAGTCAATCACTTCATCAGGGCACAAAATGAAGAGCTGCAGAGTTAGCGAGGTCACTATGCTCTTCTGTATCCTTTTTTTTTGGGGGGGGGGGGGGCTGTT